TATTGTAGGATTTGTAACTCCCAATTAAAATATTTGGGAGTTACATAAGAATGGCTAATGACCTAAATACCCTTATCATTAATATGTAAGTTACATTTTAACCAAACCCAAAGATGCAACATTATTGGTTGATGTGGGTTAGCAAAGTTTGCACAAAATATTGGGTTAGTATTTGAACCACCCTCTATATCTATATATATATATATATATATATATATATATATAGTCTACATCTCCGGCAAACACTTCTTCTCCTTCCTCTCCAACAACCTACAACCAGAAGACAGACCCCACACCTTATCTGGACGCCACTTTTGTCCTCCCCCTTCCTTTCCCTTACCGATCTAACACTCTTTAGCACAAAAACACAGCACATACGCACAACAAATGTGATAACCGGATCTTGGTTATCACCCAAGGTAATTAATATGTGATTATCTGATTAAATAATTACTTGATAGCATGATAAATTGATACATTTAGTCATGCTGGTATGTGAAAATTACTTGCATAATGTGATTATGTGTATGAGAATATGTACATATGTGGATGTATATATATATATATATATATATATATATATATACATGGTTTATATGCTTGAAATAGGTATGAGTATATGCATGCATGTATGGTAAGAACGGTTTAGCCGCCTTACCTTATTTAGCAAGTATAAATATGAGGGTGAGACCCTCATATCTCTTTTCCTTGCCATTTTTGAAGAAGTGTGTGAAGTTTAAAGTGAGGTTGGCCGGATTTCATATTACCTGATTTCAAGAAGTTGAATCTCATCTGATTTTCAAAGGAAATTGCATAAGGTGAGTAATTTCTAAACTCTTTTGCATAAAGTTATTACTGGTTTTATATGAATCTTGTTTATATAGAAAGAAATGAGTCTTTTGCTCAAGTGTTTTTATCCGGGTAATAAACCAGACAAGGCTTGTCCGGATTATTTAAAATCGCTCAAGTATTGAACGATTTAGTTTTAAACCGGTTAAGTGTTGATCGGGTTATGATTGGTAAGAATGATTATCTTTTTGAACTGAGAATTAGGAATACGACCAAATGGTGGCCGGATTATTTTAAATCGGCCAAGTAGTGAGCGAGGTATTGTCCGAACTTGTTATCCGGACAAAGTTGAAATTTAATTGTAAGTATTAAATCGGTCAAAGGTTGGACGATGTATTGTCCGGATTGTTTTAAATCGGTTAAGTTATGAACGGTGTATTGTCCGGACTTATTATCCAGACAAAGATGTTGATTTGGATTCTAAGTGATAAATCGATCAAGCTTTATGCGGGGTATTGACCGGACTTGTTATCCGGACAAAGTTGTTGAGATTTATTTTAAGTATTAAATCGGACAAAACTTATATTATGTGTTGTCCGGATAGTTGACCGGATTTGAAGTCCGGCTAAATCGAGTTGACCGAATTTAAAGTGATGCCTTGTGTTTTTAATGA